ACTGTGTACAAATCTCAAAGTTCATGGTCATTCTGTGTTGCTTGAAAACACTAGGTCCATGAAGTTCCAGGGACTGAAGGGTAAGGAGAGAATGACTATTTAACAGGGGACTGGAAGAACACAGCAAGCCAGGCAACAGCTGGAGGAAAGGAGCAGTCAACATTTCGGGTATTACCCTTCTTCAGGACTGGATGTGGGGGTAGGGGAAGCTGCAGATAAGAACGGGGGGAGAAGGGTGGTAGTGGAATAGTGGTGATAGGTGGACACTTGTGGTAGGTATGACCTGGTTGGTCGATGAGAGAGATGAATCTGGTTGGTGACTGGAAGGGAGGGTCAGAAGGTGGAATGGAAGGAAGGAGGTGGGGCTGGAAGGGGAGGCGGGGAATGGATGGCAAGGTTATTTGAAATTGTAGAACGCAGCGTTGAGTCCTCCGGGCTGTAGGGTGCCCAGGCGGAAGATAAGGCGTTGTTCTTCAAATTTACGTTTTGATTCGCTGCAACACTGGAGCAGACCGAGGACAAACATGTTGGAGAGGGAATTGGGACGGGGAGTTGAAAAGGGCGGTGACCAAGAGGTTAGGTTGACTGTTATGGGCCAGGTGGAGATGCTCGGTGAAACTGTCACCTAGTCTATGTTTGGCCTCATCAATGTAGAGAAGATCACATTTGGATGCAATAGGCTAGTTTGGAGGAGATGCAGGTGAAGCTCTGTCTCACTTGGAAGGGCTGTTTAGGGCCCTGGATGGAGGTGAGGGAGGTGATGTGTGGGCAGGTATTGTATCTTTTACAGTTACAGGGAAAGATACCGGGCAGGTTGGAGTGGTTGGTGGGGAGTGTGGCACAAACTAAGGAGTGGCAAAGGGAATGGTCCTTGTGGAAGGCAGAGAGGGGTGTGGAGTGGAAGATGTTCTAGGTAGTGTGGTCTAATTGGAGTTGGTGGAAGTGTTTGAGGATGATACGTTGGATGTGGAGTCTGGTGGGGTGGAAAGTGAGAACAAGGGGGACCCTATCTTTGTTATGTTTGGAGGGGGGAGTGGTTAAGAGCTATGGAGTGGGGAATGGAGGAGGTGCGTTGGGTGACAGAAGTGGGGAAAGAGCGTTGTTTGAAAAAGGCAGAGACCTGGGATGCTCCTTTCCTCCAGATGCTGCCTGGCTTGCTGTGCTCTTCCAGCCTCCTGTTTGTTTATCTTGGATTCCAGCATCTACAGTTTTCTTTTGTCTAACCATTTAACAGGGGAAATAGGTTAGAATTTACACGGGACACCACCTTGCGTACCAGCTGTAATTTTGCTTTTAGGGCGGGGATTTTCCATCTGTGTCGGTACTGTGCTGTCACTAGGGAGGTGGAGAGGGCCTCAAAGCCCATCTGGCGCATGAGCTCCTGGCTTGCAGCAGGGAATTCCCCCTCTTTGACAACAGGTCTTCATAGACCATTAAGTATCACTCATTTTCTCTCTGCTCTTTGTGCATGATTACCCCTATGGACACAGATACAGCCTCTAGGAAGATGGCCTTGGGTGGGAGGGGTTGTAATGATGTTAGCGAACTGGCGCCAGCCAGCAACACATATTTTTAGAGGTAACAAGGTGTAGAGCTGGATGAACACAGCAGGCCAAGCAGCATCAGAAGAGCAGGAAGGCTGACGTTTCGGGCCTAGGCCCTTCATCAGAAATGGGGGAGGGGAGGGGGGTTCTGAAATAAATAGGGAGAGAGGGGGAGGTGGATAGAAGATGTTTAGAGGAGAAGATAGGTGGTGAGGAAACAGACAGGTCAAAGAGGCGGGGATGGAGCCATATTTTCACAGCTGTCTGCCTCCATTTTTATTGCTATTGCCGTTGACATTCTTCCATCTCCGTAATGTGAAGATGGAATGCAGTAGATTGAATCCATTGACAAATGGAATAGTTTTATATGGTCCAAGATGACAGACTGAGCCTCAGTTTAATATGTCAAGCCAAAATACGGCACAATTCAAAAAAACTTTGCGAAAACTGAAACTATCCCAATTGTGATCAAATTTGCTGATGGCCGAAGTGACCAGTCTGAGAGAGACTGGCTCTGCCACAATTGCCATATATGGGTTGCTCATTGTATGAGATTGTGGGTTTGTTGGTGGAATGGTGCTGGCAAGTCAACATGCCAACTGAAGGCACAAGCTTTCTGTTTTGTGCAACTCTATACCCCGGACTGAGAGGTTGGTGAAAATCCTGCTCCTGTTTCACGATACAAATGTGGGAAGAATAATTCACGTGTATACATTGACTTCTGAATCCTTATCCCATTCTTTTGTACCGTGGTCACTGCTCTCATAGAGGCAAAAAAAAGTCATTATGGACGCAGAGACATCCCACAAACTATCTTGAGGTAAGTCATCTGCTTTGGTAACCATAGTTGGAAGATAAATGTTATCCAGGACTAAGAAGAAATTCCTCTGCTTTTTTTTAATTAAGAAGAAAACAAAAACAGTATTGCATTTGTTATAA